AAACGCATTTTTAAAAATAATTTATGTCTAAGATTGAAAATGTTTTTATTTTCATTTTCATGCAAAAAATAAATTCATTTTGGAACGAGTTCCAAATGCACCGTTCACTTTTAAAGAAAGGTTCTTTTAACACCTACAACTGATTTTTAGGACAATGTACATTTTACGTTTCTCACTAATTAACAATAAACTAGTAATTTTAAAAATATATATGAAAATAATTTAATATATTTAAAAATTAAACAATCATAATAAATTAAAATGTTTTTAAAAAATATTTTTAAAGTTATTAATTTCTATTTAATTGATAAAAATGGCACTTTAGACATTATATGTACCAAAAATAAGTCTTAGGGTACTAAAAAAATCTTTCTTTAAAGGTGAAGCTACTATTTTAATATTAAAAACACAAAATACCAATAAGATGTTTCGCTATAATAAAGGATACCAAATATAAGAAGAACCAATGGATTAAAGTACCTACTATTAGGGGAAGTAAGATTTTATATATTGTTACCTCTTGCTATTGGTTTTGACTTTATTTGTATTAAGAAATTTCATTAGTTTAGTTTTGGGTTACTTACCTGATTTTATACTTGTAATGTCTATTTATATAGAGTCTCCTTTATAGTGCACCTTACTAGTAAACTTTCCTTCTTTTCTTAAACTTTGGTTCTAGAAATATAGTCCAACCACATTAAATCTCTCTTTGTCTTCTCTCTTTCTTTGTATTTCTTATTTAATTATTTATTACCTACAAGAGTTATGTACAATATTATATGATCATTGTTGTAGGGTGAAACAATACCTTAAAAATAGATCATGAACAGGGCCCACCGATCATAGGGAAACTCATTAAATGATTAAGGACAACTCAATCCTAATAGCCACGTCAACAACAACTCTTTTGGGAAGTAGACCATTATGAGAAACATTAGGAATGAACATGGAGTTGATCGTTCTCTCAAATATAAGCGAAGAGACCTTGAGTAGCTTTAACGAAGTTGAGGCTACGCGGATAAAAGGATCCACATTATTTACTTAAAGATTCGTTATCTATAATTTGAATATATGAAATACGAATAAGGAAAACACTCAGATTAATTGTAATCTCTATATTTTAGAAAATTATATCAAGAGATAAGGTAAATATCCCAAATTTAAATAAGAAAATTGACAAGGGCGGTGGCCTAGTGGTATAAATAGGGAATCATGATTCAAAAATTTCCAAAGTCTCATCTTGAGCATTAGTGCATGTATTTTTCTCCAAAGTAGTGAATTTTCTCCTCCTCTCTACAGTGGACGTAGCTTTCAAATCGAGAGTGAACCACTATAAATTTTGAATGTTCTTACTTTTATTTCATGTTTAATTACATTTCAAGGGTGACTAACCCACATTTTTGTTAAGAAATTCGTTATTATTCAATTGATTAATTTTCATTGTCAACAATCATAATCATTAATCAATATATTTTTGAATCCAATTAAAATATAATGCTGTTAGTAATCTCATAATTTTGAATTTGAGAGTTCCTTCATTTAAATAATACCACGAGAAAAAAGGACTTCTGAGTTAGAAAATAGTCGAGGTGAACAAAAAACTCGACAACCCTACAAACCCCATTAATCCATCCAACGCAACCCATTTTAACATGAACCTGACCAACCTAATTAAGAGTTCAACCCAACCTGACTATTAATTGGATGGGTTTGGGTTGAGTTTTTCCTATCCAAATTAACCTGAACTCACCTAATCTATTTATCAATATAAATAAATATTTTCCTATCTCATAATATATAATTTTTATCTCATATTTTACATTATTTATTTGACAACCGATTATGTTTAACATTGTGTGAGTGTTTATTATTGTGTGTTTGTTGGTTTATAAGTTATATATTTGAACTTGCTTTACATATATTTTATTTTTATATTGGTTTTTATACATTTTTTATTTTGGGTTGAATGATTAGCTTTATTTATTTTATTTATTTTTTATTTCTTTATTATGTTCAACCCGATAAGCCCACCAAAAATCTACTCAATATTTAATTGAGTGGGTTGATTTTAAACTTTGAATTGATTATATGGGTTAAATTTAAAATCAACTCACCCAAACTTAATTGGATGGTTTGAAAAATCTCAAAAACCCACCCAATGTTCACGCCTAGAATATTGTGTTTGTTTCTGTGTATTGTTACACTTATTTGAGAATAGTGATAATTCACACTCAATTAAAGTCATAATTTCCACCATCTCAAAAAATAAGTAATCAAAACTAGAATACCTATTTACTCTCTCTATATATATATATATATCTGTGTGTGTGTGTGTGTGTGTCGCGTTTGAAATTATAATAATTAAAGTAATCTATCGTCTTATTTGTTTTCCTTCATTTGGTCATCACAAGTCAAAAAGTTTCCAAGTGTAAAATTATATGGTCACAAGGTCACACTGATTATATTTCTTATATTGAAAAAAGTAGTATGGACAAATAATTTACTAATTCCTAATTATTACACGAGTTCACACTAAAAATTCTATGCGAACATGGCGCAGAGTTCACACTAAAAAATCTATGCGAACATGAAAAAAAAAAAAAAAAAAAATCTATAGGAACATACGAAGTGTTTTCCACGTGATCTGATGATCAAATCGCGTCCTTGCTTAATCTTCAAATAGTAAACACTCCAACTTTATAAAAAGAACCACAATAACTCTACAAAGTTAAGCCCCCCAAAACCTTGGCTTGGTTATATAGATCATACAAGTTCTTTTGTTCATATACCCTCGTGTTCTTGGCAAAAGCTTCCTTTACAAATATGGTTTCTTCCATGAAACTCCTACTTATTCTCGCCCTTATCTACTTCTCTTTCTACCAAGACGCGATCATCATAACCATCGCCGATTCCACACCTGTTTATGTACACAGAGAATATCGCCCTCAACTGTGGCTCACAGGAGGAGCTAACTGCACAAGATAACCGTACTTGGATTGCGGATCATGAAAAAGATTCTCGATATTCCCTCATCGAATCAGACGGACGAACAAATCGAATATCTTCGAAGCCCGCTCACAATACACCGTCGAAGAGGTGCCGTACATGACCGCACGTGGGTCTCGATCCCAGTTCACCTACAGCTTCGGCCTCACCCCGTGTCCCAAATTCATCCGGCTACACTTTTATCCAACACAATACCGCGATCTGGGTGACTTTGATCCCACAAGGACCTTCTTTACTGTCAAAGCCGGACGCTACACTCTGCTGAAGAACTTCAGCGCGTATCTCAGCGCCGAATACTTGAAACAGCGGGCTTTCATGAAGGAGTTCTGCGTATACGTGGGAGAGAATATGGAAAAACTCGATATAGCTTTTCTTCCGGAAAATCATGGTAATAGTACTTCCTACGTGTTTGTCAATGGAATCGAGATCGTCTCCATGCCAGACGACCTCTACTACACCCCGACAGGAGATAAAAGCCCTCGTATCATTGGCCAGGGGGGCAATATCCTCGACTACACCGACAAGGCGCTCCAGACACTTTACCGGTTGAACGTCGGCGGCAACGACATCTCGCCTGATCAAGACACTGGCATGTACAGGTTGTGGACCCGAGACTTTCCCTACTTCTTGAGCTTTGGCTTTGTCCCCTGTGACACGAAAAAGAAGCTGAAGTACACTAATCTAGCAAAATATTACACCGCCCCTGATGATGTCTACCGAACCTCCATCACCATGGGAAACAACAGGACATACAATAACCTCCGCAACATCACCTGGAGGTTGCCCGTCGACTCCAGATTCAACTATCTGGTTAGGCTCCATTTCTGTGAGTTTGAAGACACGTACCAGAAGCCCGAGGATAGGATGTTCCGAATCTATCTAGACAACCGCACGGCTGATCCTGCTTTCAGTGTGATTGTTTGGACTGGTGGTAACGGGATCCCGATGTATAGAGACTTTGTGGTGAATAAATACGACGCTTTTCTCTTTGTTGATCTGCACACTAGAGCTGAGGATTCTACCTACGAGGATGCTATCTTAAACGGCATAGAGGTGTTCAAGATGAGCGATTCTGATCGTAACCTCGCGGGACCAAACCCTACACTACAGAACTCTAAGGGATCCGACCAAACAAAACACAGAAAATTCCAAGTCGAAGAAAACACTATTGGCCATTGCCTTAGGGTGTGGCGTTGCTGGCTTTGTTGTTCTACTGTCTATGGTGTTCTGTGTAGTTTTCTTGAGGCTACGGAAGGAGAAACGCTACCACGGTTCATCCAAAAGAAGATCCAGCAGGTCGACGAAGACTTCCTCCGGGAGGCTTCCTGAGCAGGTTTGCTGTTGTTTCTCGCTCGCCGAGAACAAGATGGCGACCAACAACTTTGACCAAGCGTTGGTGATCGGCAGGGGAGGTTTCGGTTACGTCTACAAAGGTCATTTGGCCGACGAAGCGTCCAAAGTTGTTGCAATCAAGCGGCTGAACAAGGGGTTATCGGGCCAAGGAGAGAAAGAGTTCGAAGCGGAGATTGAGATGTTATCTCAGCTCCGCCACGTCCATTTGGTCTCCCTCATAGGCTACTGCGACGACGACGATGAGATGATCCTCGTCTACGACTACATGGCCAACGGGACTCTTCGAGACCATCTCTATGGCACGGACAACGACCTTCTCCCGTGGAAACAGCGACCCGAGATATGCGTGGGGGAGGCGCGTGGGCTGCACTACTTCCATTCGGAAGTGAAGAACACCGTCATCCACCGCGACGTCAAGACGACAAACATATTGTTGGACGAGAAGTGGGTGGCCAAAGTTGCCGATTTTGGATTGTCAAAACTCTTCCTCCGGGAGGCTTCCTGAGCAGGTTTGCTGTTGTTTCTCGCTCGCCGAGAACAAGATGGCGACCAACAACTTTGACCAAGCGTTGGTGATCGGCAGGGGAGGTTTCGGTTACGTCTACAAAGGTCATTTGGCCGACGAAGCGTCCAAAGTTGTTGCAATCAAGCGGCTGAACAAGGGGTTATCGGGCCAAGGAGAGAAAGAGTTCGAAGCGGAGATTGAGATGTTATCTCAGCTCCGCCACGTCCATTTGGTCTCCCTAATAGGCTACTGCGACGACGACGATGAGATGATCCTCGTCTACGACTACATGGCCAACGGGACTCTTCGAGACCATCTCTATGGCACGGACAACGACCTTCTCCCGTGGAAACAGCGACCCGAGATATGCGTGGGGGAGGCGCGTGGGCTGCACTACTTCCATTCGGAAGTGAAGAACACCGTCATCCACCGCGACGTCAAGACGACAAACATATTGTTGGACGAGAAGTGGGTGGCCAAAGTTGCCGATTTTGGATTGTCAAAACTCGGTCGCGGCGACAGCGCTGTTAGTACGGCGGTGAAGTGCACTTTTGGGTACATGGACCCGGAATACGCATAGAGCCGGTAACTGACGGACAAGTCCGACGTGTACTCTTTCGGTGTGGTTCTTTTCGAGGTGTTGTGTGCCCGTAAACCGGTGGATATCAAACTCGAAGAGGATCAAAGAAACTTGGCACAATGGGCAAGGAAGTCCATAAAAGAAGGGAGGATTCAGAACATCGTAGACCCGTACTTGATAGGCAAAATTGCGCCGGAGTGTTTCAAGAAGTTCGTGGAGGTGGCGGAGAGGTGCGTCCGAGATTATTGGAGTCAACGGCCCACGATGCATGAGGTGATGGAGAACTTGGAGTTTGTGTTGGAGCTGCAAGAACAAGCGGACGCCACGCAGCTGGGGAATAATCCCGACGGGCTGTGTTCGTATCCGGAGAAGCTGTCATTCCATCTGGTTGTGGATAACCGTGGGTTCGGATACGACTTGTTGGGGTTGCGAAGTGGGGCCGGTGTTTCCACCCCGGTGGGGTCCATCACCGCCGAATCGGGCTTTCCTAGTCTGGACAGTGAAAGTGGCACCCGCGAAATATTCTCAGACGCCTCTATTTCCAAAACCCAAGAATAATTGGAAGAAAAAGTGTTTGTAGTCCTTGTGTTTGTATTTTTAAGATAAAATCGTATGTGTACAAGCTACCTGAGATGCTGAGTGATGAATCAGTTTTCTCCTGAAGAAAATTGTGGAATAGATATTAGTTGTCTCTTTCGGCAATGAGCACAAGTTGTTGATAGTCCTAGACAAACCACACTACCAGGTTTCGTGGAAGAGAGGAAAAAAGAGACTGATAATGAAGTGTTCTTGGGCCTTCATGTATGTATTTATTTGCTAATCGTGTACGTTTGAGATTTTGAGTGAATCAGATTTCTCCTGAAATTAGAGAGGAAAGTGTGAATTAGATTTGTATCTAAAATTGAGTTAGTTGACATATAACTACAAGAAAAAGGGCTGTTCGTAGCGGTTAGTTATAACGCTTTTTAAAAAACGTTACTGTTTTAATCTATAATAGCATTTATAAAGAATTATAATATATATATATATACATATATATTAAAATTTGTTGACATTTTGACTGATTTATTTTATATATATTTAAAAATATATAAATGTACAGATTACAATTATATTGAGCGGGCATTGGAAATAAATTTTCTAATTTTTTCGCTCGCTCCCTCCCCCCATTTTTTTTATTTTTTATTTTTTTATTTAATGAAATGCGCGCAGGATACGAGAGAACCAGGGAAAGGAAAAAAAAAAAAAAAAAGAAACCCCCAAATGCCGAAACGTATTCATTCTCACTCGAAGAGTCATTTGGCCGGCCAACAGGGAAACAACCTCATTCTCCCATACGGCCGGTCACTACAAATTTACCACCGTATGAGAGAAAGAAGTAAAACATGGGTAAGTTGTGAAACTAAGAGAGAAAAATTTTGAAAGTAAAATCTGCAAGTGGGATACGACCATAAACCATTTCCAGAGCACAGCTATTCTCCAGAAATCAGCCCCACAAACGAACATCACACGTTCCACCACCAACTGCCATCTCCCCATCTCTCCCTCTCTCTCTTCCCAAATTCTCTTCTATGCTTATTCATCAGCGTTAAAAGAGAGAGAAAAACGTGAGAGACTCATGACGGAAGAGGAAATGCGCCACCGTCGATTCTGACCACCTTTGGCCAACCCATAGTGATCCGAGATCAAATCCAAGAAGCCCATGAGCTGATCTACAAAACCCCCATCACCACGCCGCCCGATTCCCCGCCGATCGGCCGGAATTTCAGTTTGAAATTCCCGGCCACCGCATCTTCCAACGCAGTTTCCGGTGCCTTCCGACGTTTAATCTCCGGAAAGTGCTTTCTTTGGACTGCTCTCGTCGAACTAAACAAATCCATACCAAGTTTGCTGAACAAATCCTTTTATTCACGAGTGTTGCTTTTGCTTATCGTGGTTTCGCAATCTCCGTCCTCTTCTCGGGCTCTAATTTCCACCCCTAATTTCAGCCCTCCATATCCCAAGCTATTTCCGTAAGTAATCACAAAATGCAATTTCTTTCACAGTCTTTCGATTAATTTCTTTAGCTTTATTTAATCTGTAAATTTTTTGGTTTTGATTTTGAATTCAGGATTTGAAGGAAGCAACGGTGAAGTCGTTAGGGCTTCAAGCCGATGACCTCAAGATTTCTGGTTTTGATATAAGAGATGCGCGGGTGGGGTATTCGGTGGCGTACGAATTCCACGTTGAGGTCGACAATAAGGTGCTTCCTTTCAAGCTTTTGGAGGACATTAACAGGTGGGATTATGCCGGGGGGAGAGAGAGAGAGAGAGAGAGAGAGAGAGAGAGAGAGAGAGAGAGAGAGAGAGAGAGAGAGAGAGAGAGAGAGAGAGAGAGAGAGAGAGAGAGAGAGAGAGAGAGAGAGAGAGAGAGAGAGAGAGAGAGAGAGAGAGAGAGATTTGAAGTGTTTCAATGGGGGAGGTGGTTTTGAGCAGTGATGATTTGGAGATGAACGAAGCAGCAGAGAAGAATAGAACAGAGACAGAAATGAATACTTGTAGTAATAACAACAATAAGAACAGTAGTTATAATGGAAGAAGAAAGATGGTTGTAGTTCGAGCGGGGCGATTACGAGGTGTGACAAGTTCTTGCCGGGGATGATGATGCGGGTTTTGTTGGTCGAAGCCGATGATTCCACCAGGCAGATTATCATCGCTCTTCTCAGGAAATGCAGCTACAGAGGTCATTTTCTTTTTTCTTTTTTCCTTCGTTTTTGGTTGTGCTCATTCAGTTGATGCATTTGATTGCCTTTCGTTTTCTTTTATTTTGGTTCTTAATTCGGTTTTATTGACTTCTTTTGTTTGAATGGCGAAATGGGTTTTGCTCGATTTTCAGTCTTCAGTATATTTTTTCTGTCTCCTGAATTTGGGAGTCAGCTTCCTTCGTTTTTGGTTGTGCTCGTTCAGTTGATGCATTTGATTGCCTTTCATTTTCTTTTATTTTGGTTCTTAATTCGGTTTTATTGGCTTCTTTTGTTTGAATGGCGAAATGGGTTTTGCTGGATTTTCAGTCTTAAGTATAATTTTTTCTGTCTCCTGAATTTGGGAGTCGGCCTTAGACTTTCAGTTGTTCAAGTGAGTTGACTCCCAACCATTTTTTTTTGGTTGTACAGTTGGTGAATTCTATGTTCTTATGGGTTTTTCCTGATTCTTGAATTAGAGCAACATAAACAAGCGATAGTAATTGATGTAAAACGAAGTTGTAAAACTAATTCCTTTGAAATGAATTTTCTATTTTTTGGGGTGTGCCTCAGCAGTATTGCCGTTTTGATAGCAATTCAAGCCATTTCAAGCGATTTGACACGATATGGTTGTTTAAGAAATCCTTTTCTTACCTTCTTTTAGTCATGTACTTTATATAATATATACTTATATATTTTTAGAACTCATCAACAAATTTGGCTTGAGCTTAGAATTTTTGAATTTTATCTTAGCAACTGATTTTTTTTCTTTTTTTTGGCAGTTGCTGCGGTGCCCGATGGCTTAAAGGCATGAGAATTACTGAAGGGAAGACCACACGACGTGGATCTCATATTGATAGAAGTGGATCTGCCTTCAATATCTGGGTTTGCTCTGCTAACACTGATTATGGAGCATGAAGTTTGCAAAAACATTCCTGTTATAAGTATGTTTACTTAAATTAGGTGCTTGTACAGGTCTCAAGCAGTGGTTGGGCTGAAGGTGAATGTAAGGGAAAAGCCGGTTGGTTCCCATTTAACTATGTGGAAAGGCGAGAACGTGTGCTTGCGACCAAGGTGGCTGAAGTCTTCTGAGGTTACCTACTTGGTTTTTTGAAATTATCCCAAGAAGATTGCACTATCATTCCTGAGTTGTTGTTGGACCATCATTTGCCATTACCTTCTGATAGGAAACTAACTTTACTAAAAGAAATGAAGATATTGATGGGATATCCTTTAAAATCTAAAGTAGGTTTTAGAAAAAGAAAGTTGTTGAAAGTTGTTGTGAGGCTCGTCACATAGCCAGCTCTATCAGAGATATAAAGAAGAGTCCCACAAAAATAGGTACTTGTGAGAATCTTTCTGGTCTCTTGCGAAATTAAATAGGATCACTCTTTAGAAAAAGCAAGAGCCATTCATAACTAATTACGTTCCATTTTCTTTTGACTTTTTTATGTAAAAAAAATAGACTGTCTTTGCAAATAAACAATTTCAAGTCTAAGACGGAGAGCGTGGTTGATGTGAATCCATGCAAATCATCAGGAAAGGGGGGGAATGTCTTCGTCAAGATCGTATAGTAATTAGTAATAAAGGCCCACTTTTAAAAAAGAAACTAATTGTTTGGAGTAACCTTGATTAGAGGTCTATTTTTCTATTTTTCGGTTCAGTTTGCTTATTTTATAATGGTGATGATAAACCAGTACTACATATATAAGAGAGTACACATTACTATCACACACAAACACACACACACACACACACATAAGTAATTAGTAGCATAGATCTTTCGAATTATCATATAAATTCGACTTTTTTTTTTGTGACATCACATTTTCGTTATAGTAACTTGATTGTTGAGGGGGAAATAGTTACAACTTTTGAATTATATACATAAGGGATTTATTGTTTGATGATCAGAGTAGGTAGTACGTGTAGAGATCTGCTGCCTCGAAAAGCATGGATCGATGAGAACAAAATCTTATCCTTAAAAAAAAGTAGGGGAAACACACTTCGTGGCCAATATTCATATAAATATATGCACATTATACAAATAAATGATCTATACCTTTTAAATATAACCAGTCTGTTAGATCTGATGTTACGTTTGGTGTTCCAGATGATGTTAGAACACTGTTTGGAACACGACTTAATTAATTAAGATCTGGGTTTATTACATTCATTTGCTCGAGCAAAATAAAGTACAAAAAGTAAAGGAACACACAATATGATATTACAATTCGGTGCGCACACCTACATTTGTAGGGCCACGCCCAGACAGTAAACA